GCAGGATGCCTCTGAGCAGCAGGTTAAAAGCACTCAACAGAGGCAAGAACAGGAAGGAAGCAGGGGTTAAGCCTGAACAAGGTGAGTCTATCCCAGAGCCCTTAATTCAAACATGATTTCATGGGTAGAAATCTTGCAGTGCCCCTTCTGCAAAGCTGGTAAATACAGCTCTGTTTCTCTGTTGCTTACAGCATCTTCCTCCTAAGCACAGCTTTTCAAACCCAGAGGGAAGTTTCTACCTAAACAGCTAGGCTGGAAGATTGGGTGTGAACAGCAGGACTCCACTTAAACCAGTTTGCTCCTCACCAGCCAAGGTACATGGACCCTACTCAAACTGCTTTGGTACAGGCTGATGCTGATCACAGCAGAGGTGCTCTAACACAGGAACAGAAATGTTTCTAACAACCTGCTGGGGCAATGCATCCATTTAACAAGTACCTCCCCTCTCCAAACTTTAGAACTTCATGTAGCCAGTCTGCTGGGGAAACCACCTGAGATCACAGTGTAACAAACACCAAAGCTGATTAAACAGACAACAGAAGAGTAAAACCCCAACTCTGCCAGTTTCTCTCCCTTCCAACCTGCCCTTGTTCAGCTGCCATACCCCAGAATCTGTGTCTTCCTTAGGAAAAATAAAAGAGAGGCAGAAAACCAAGGCTACCCAAAGAGAACTCTTTATTATTATTTTGTGGTATGATTTTTATGCAGAGGCCAACAGCTCTGACAGTACAGGTCATGTTACCCTGCCCCCAGTACCCCAAAGCAAGTTAGTAACCAGCAAGTGCATCTGCCAGGCTTTTCTGTGTCACGCAAGGCTGTTAACTGTTGCCCTGCCCAGGCTGAGCTCAAGCCCTGAATGCAGGAAGCCCTGTAAAACCATGTTGAACCCAGCTGGCCATGCTGGCTCCCTGATCTGCCCCTCAGCTTGCAGGGGAGGCAGAGTTAAAGCCACTGGTATTGCAGTTCTGCTTCTCAGGTGCTTACCGCATGTCAACTCTGCCTGTACCCTGCTGCTCCAAAGGTCTAATCCTCCTCACAAGGAGATGCTGGTGGGTGTTAGCTCTATTATTTAGAGGCAGTTTATCTTTAATTGTGGCCTTACACTCAACTAGTAAAGGAGAAGGGAGAATGAGAACAGGAATTTCCTCTGCTTGAACTTCTACTTTTCTCTGATATAGCCCAGCACCTCTGTGCTCAGTGGTGGTGGTTCCCTCAGACAGCACAGGGCTTCCTGTGACAAGAGCTAGCAGGAAAAACGCTTTGTTTTCCTTTTGCTTCCTTTCCCATTGCTTGAGAGGATTCTGAATCCTGCAGGACGTATCTGGATACCTAAAGAGTAAAGCATTAATGTGAGAGTCAACTGGTTGGGTTGCAGCCCTGATCAGCAAAGTGTCAGCACCCTGTCTGTGCCTCAGTTTCTCTTCTCCCCCTTGGCTTGTTTTCTCAGTGGGGCAGGGCCTGGTTTTTGCAGGGTCCCTGAGCAGCACTGAGCTCCAAGGACCTTCCCCCCTTGGGGAAGGAGAAAGAGTCCCAATCCCAACTGCATTCCCAGAAGTGTCAAGTCAGGCCCAGTTCAGGCTGTTTCCAAACCAGAACTGTTAGGATGGAGGCCTTGGCAAAATACCAAGCACATGGAAAAGGGCTAGTGCTGTTCCACTTGGCCCTCCTTAGTTGCAGCCCTGTCACCAGCACCAACGAACCACCAAGAGCCACCTCACCATGAGAGGAAGTAGGTAGGACAGCAGAAAAGCAGCCCATATCCCTGTTGGCTGTGGGAAGAAAGAACTGCCTGCTGAGTTTCCAAAGAAATGATCACAGCAGGAGTGTGGATGAAGTAGAGAAGATTTACCCATGGCTGCCCTGGAAAAGCCAAGAGCTCTCAGAAACTGGGCCCCATCTCTCAGCAGCACAGCTCCCAGGGAACTGCAGGCCCTGGGCTGGGCAGGCAGTGCTCCTACTAGAGGGTTGCAGCCCTAGTTTGATGCCTGAAAGCAATAGGAAATAACCAGAGCAGATAGCTCAGGGATTGCCCAGGAACACGCAGCTTTGCAAACTCAAGAAGCCTGCCCACACCACAGGAAAATTAACAGCTGATAAAAGTAGGAGTTCACCACTGATTTTTCTCCTTCCCACACTGTTCTGCAGCTGCTGCTAGTGGTTATCCCCACCACAGAGCTCACTGCATCTCAACAATACTCTTATTTAAGTTTGCTTTCTCAGCAAGTCTAGAACATCTCGTCCTCTAGGAGAAAAACCCAGCTGGGTAACGCTGCGTTCTGCTGTGTCTGTGGCCCATGGCCTAGCAAGTTCTCATACTTTCATTGTACTTTTCACCCTGAAAGGTCCTAAGCTGCTTAGCAGAAAAAAGCCCTCTTTTCCAGGGAGGGACAATGTCACCTACTGGTGTATTGCTGCTGCTTCTGGAGTGAGCTGCAAAGAGCTGTTTGCTGAGACCCTGCAGCAGTTTAGGGAGGAAATTAAGATCTCTATCACCCGCCCCTGGCACCACATGCAATCAGGAGGACACACGAGGACATTTCCCACACTGGTTATACTCGAGAGAGAAGGGAAATGCCAGAAAGAGGGGGCAGAGGAGCCACAGCACCTCACTGTGCTGGGGATGAGCTGCAGAGAGTTGCCTTTAAAAGTCAGACACCAGTGTGAAGGGAAAGGAGAGATGACAGCAAGGAAATGAGAGGGCTGATAAGGATCTGTGGCTGTGAGGCAGGTGTGTGCTAAGGAGCAGCTCGTGCAAGCAGAGATGTGGAGCTGTTGCTGCATTCTGGTTGTTTCCCTTTACCTGCCTGACATGTCTTTTCATGTCAAAAGCTACATCAAAGAGAGCGATGTAAATAGCTGAACAGGCTTCCTTGTGGGAACAGGGCTGAGTGCCACAGCCAGCCCCTCAGCTGGATCTCTCCCTGGGAGCACCATGAGGAGCTGTCACCTTCCATTAGCTAAGCACCTAGGGAAGAAAGTATATTACATGCGGGAGCCAAACTAAGCAGTGATGCTGGGGAGAGTCACTTGCCTCTGCAGCTCTCTCTTCCCTAGGCCACCACTGATGCTGACGGACACAAGCAGGGCCACAAAAGCAGCACCACATCCCCTGACATCCTCTCTCTATTTTTCTCAAGAAGCTGCATTGCACAAGGGTGCTGGGCTACGCCGGAGCAGTGTCCATGCTCTCAAAGCCCAGGCTCTCCCGTGGTACCCTCTCCCTCTCCAACTACACACAGGTCACAGCAGAGCTCAGGACAGCCCAGAGGCTGCTCTGCACTGGGGCAGCTTGTTACAGCTCCCATAGGACTGGCAGAGTAAAGCACACCCTGCCCTGTGCCCCCACGGCAGGGGCTGGAGCAAGGAAGAAAACTGGCAGCATTGTTCTGATCCCACCATGGGGCTTCCCCAGCCTACTCTGCCCCTTTTATTTGACTGTGAACTTTAACTCTGAAAACCCCAATCCCTGCTCTGCACAAGGAGCTCAAATCTCAGGTTTTATGTTCAATAACCAAGAGTGGGTCAAACACACTGGCATGTAACATTTCAGACATCGGGGTGAGGGTTAGAGATGTTATGCACAACCTCAAATCAAGTGCCCTATGCTAAGGGGGCATTTGCAGCAAACAAAGCAGATAAGGAAAGAGATCACAGGCAGGGAAGAGACTGTAGACTACAGGATTTAAAACTACAGCAGGGACACAAGTCAGAGAGGGGGCAAGAGGAAGCCAAAGCTACAGGGCACAAGAGATTCCTGAAATCCCTGGGAAGCAGCTAACAGTAGCAAAGTGGTGCCCTTCCCCCTTTTCCTGTTTCTGCTACTCTGGCTTATTCTTTTCCTGCAGCCAAACCCAAACCACAGCAGTGCTCTTCCCTCCTACACAGCGCTCAACAGTGGTTTCCAAGGCTATGGATGAGGCTTCGCGGCTTCCTCGGGGAGGTGGTACCACTCGAGATGCTGTGCCAGCCGGAAAACGGCAGCCCCACGTCCTTTTGTGAGCCCCATACCGGCTGCCAACCAGCAAACCCCATTTAGGTTGTATTTGCTTCTTGTCACACCTCCCTCACACACCAGGCCCGGGCCCTGCAGGTGGGTGAGAGCAAGAAACCACAGGCCAGAGTTAAGTAGTTATTAGTGTTTGAAGGGGAGAGGAAGATTGGAACAAGTGGGAGCTGGGGTTTGGCACAACAACAAAAGCAACCGACTCCTCCGGCTACTGTAAACCCGGCAGCGCCTCCGCGATAAGGCTCGTTCGGGTTCTTACCTGCTCCCGCGGGGCAGCTCCGGCAGCCTGCGCGACACCGGCCCTTTCCCCGCGCCTCCCGTCCTGAGGCGCCACGCACGTCCCTCGCTAAGGACGGGAGCGCCGAGCCCGGCGCGGTCGCGGCTCCCACGGCGGCCGGTGCAGGGCTGGGCTCGGAGGCCTCACCGGGACGAGAGGAGGCGCGGGCCGGGCCGGCCGCAGCGCGCTGCAATTAGGGCGGCCCTAATTACCTCAGCGCAGCTAACGGTCGGCGCCTCACCTGAGCCCCGCGCATGCGCACACTCCCCCCCCGCACACCTCACCTGCGGCCGCGGAGGTGAGCAGCGGGGAGGTGGGAGCGAGGCAAAGCCTGACTGCGCATGCGTCGGCGCGCTCCCCTCAGCCTCTGGGTGCCCCCCCCCCCTCCCCGCCCCGCGCGCGCCAACCACCTCCACCCCCCCCCCCGGCGCGCTCCCGGTCCCGCGCGCGTGCGCGCGGCGGAGTCGCGAGACTGACGGCGGCCACGTAGCGCTGCGGCGGCGGCGGCGGCGGCGGCGGAGGAGGAGGAGGAGGAGGAGGAGGAGGAAGAGGAGGAGGGGAGCGGGAGCCGCGGCCCCGGCGGCGGCGGGGCCTGGGCCGGAGCTCGGCGCAGCGACCACTGCGAGCGCCGCGGCGGCGGCTGAGGGGGCCGAGCGGAGGGACCGGGAGGGAGGGCCCGGCCGCCCTCCGCCCTCCCGCCTCGCCTCCTCCGCCACCCTCCCTCCGCCGCCTCGCCCGTGCTCCCCCCTCCCTCCCTCCCTCCCCTCCCCTCCCCTCGCCGCCCGGCATGGAAGGTGGCGGGGGCGGCCCTGCGGGGATCGGCCTGGGTGAGTGCGGGCCGCCCGCTCGCTTCGGGATCCCCTTTCCCTGCTCTCCTCGGGCCTGGCTGCAGCCGCCGAGCAGCGCTAGGCCCAGCCCGGGGGTGGGTGACGGAGGGAGCGGGGTAGAGCCGCCTCCGGCCTGGAAGGACTGGGGGGGGGTGTAAGCGCCGGGCCCGGCCCCCCCGGTGGGAGCAGGGTGCAGCCGGGGGAGCTTCGCGGGAGGAGGGGAGCGGGCGGCGGAGGAATGCTGCCGGGGGCGGCTGGAGCTTCCCGCTGGGAAGGGGCTGTGCCACCTGCCTGCGGAGCGGAGGGAGGGAGGGAAGGTGAGCGGCGCCGAGCGAGCCAGAGGCCGCCCCGCTGCCTTCTGCCCTGGCCTTCAGCCGCCTCCCGGCAGCGGCGCCCGGAGGTGCGGGGACACCCGCAGCCCTCGCCTTCCTCCTTGTCACTGGCCGGGGGTGCAGGCGCGGCCGTGCCCGGGCCGCGGTTGTGGATGCTGCTGGGACGGGGGTTGTCACTGGGTAGGCGAGGGAGCGCTGCGCTGCCCTTAAACTGCTGCAGGTTCGGGGTCTGGGGGTGTGAAGGGGAAAAATCAGACCTAAAACCCTGATGTTTTATCTTAGTCTTTTGAAACCCTGATGTTTTATCTTAGTCTTTTGCTGAGGTGCCTTCCCCTTTGCTCGCAGGACAGATGCAGTGGTGTGTGCGCCCTAGGATTTGGGGTTTGGGTTTGGTTTTAAACTACCTTCTGTGCAACTTTGGCTCCTGTGGGTGTCTCGGTGCAGGTATTGTTAGAATGAGAAGATCTGCTTCAAGATACCGTATCTCTTCCGTCTTAATAGTAATTGTGTGAGTATCTTTAATCACAGCAGAGTTTTGGCACGTTGTGCAGCAGCAGTGATTGAAGTCGAAGCGAGGGAAGCGCCGTAGACATAAAGGATGTGAGGAATGTGCATTTTTCTCTTTCCAGGGGATGACCTGAGCGGTATTGTTCTGGGAATGGCAACTGGCACATGCTTTGTTGACAGTGGTGTATGCGCGGTGAATCAGGAGAAGGACGGTGCGGGATGTGTGTGTGTGCGCTGAATAAAGGAGGTGCAACGGGGGAGCAGTGATTTGTGAAGCCTGGCCGGGTGCACCTTGGTTTGCCAAGACTGCGGCTTGATTGTGCCCTGCTGGAAGTTGGGGGCTCTTCCTCTGGAGGTGCCTGGTGGGTATGAGCGAAATGGGTCTTGTAGATGCGAGGTTGCGGACGCTGCTTGTGTTAAAAGGGCTGTGGGGTTGCAAAATGTCAGTTTAAAAGGAGCTGGGGTTTGATGGTAACGTCGTTTACGTCCTTTACATGCATCTGGTGTTCTCACCGCTGTCTGTCTGAAGCCCCTTGATCTCTCTTTCTGCCTGCCTGTGAGATGGATTTTTTCCTGCTTTGTAGCGATTAATCAGGCACTTGGAGTGTGGTTGGTTTGCTGAATGAGTGAACAGCCCCATCCGTGTCCCAGGCAGCCAATGCTTGAATTGAGATCTCCATAATCAGCTGCAGGTATAGAGTGAACTCAGTGTAAACGTGTAGTTGAGGGGTAGAAATGTTGCAAGCTGCTTCAGAGTGTGTGAAAGAAAAGAGCAAACTCCTGAAGGCTTTTGATTTCTCTGACTAAGCAGTTGGTGACTGGGATCTATAGAGCCTTCAGATTTAGCTGCAGGAACAGAGATTTCATGTAAATGTTTCATGACTTAGCATTTGTATTCTTTGTAAAAAAAACCCCTTTCAAATATTTACATGATTGAAAGAGAATTTGGCATTTTACCTATTACGAATTTGTTGTAAAGGACTTACATTATGATGTTGTTATCCTTATCGAATACTGACACAGGAAGCCTTTAACTGATGTTTTCTGCAGGGGTTCTGTATCTAGGGGCTAAATTACAGAAGCAGTTTGTCAGGTCCTGGTGCACGTGCAAAGATATTGGGATGATCTGGTTTTATTTTCTCTGCTGGAATTGTAGAACATGGACATTTCAGTCTTGGAGGTGCAATTTCATCTACATGTGAGAAGTCTTTATAGGTACAAGCAGTATAGGTCAAACAGAACTGTTTCTGGTGTCATACCACCCAGAGGTGTCCATGTAAGAATGACTTGGGACCTTTGAGTTGGTCCAACTGCATTAAACAGATACTTTCTTTAAGCAAGATCCTATCTTCCAGTCCTGGATCTCCTGTGTCATATCAGTGCCTAATGAAGAGTGGTTTACCAACAGCATGTTTGAGACAGGCACGGGTATATTTAAGGTGGTTACAAAACCGTGCCATCGGTGACCTATTTCTCTGTGGCACTCTTCTTATCAAAGAATAGATTTCTTTCTCACTCCACACCAAAGAGAGATGTAATTGGAAGGAAGTGCCAACCGATTGAGAAGATGGAGATGTTCTCTAACAACCTCATTCTGTGCTTTATTATTGTATTAGAATATCTTATAGCCATTCTCTTGGTTAAATTCCTACAGCACAGAGCAGCTAATCTCTGAATGTGCCCTGCTGTGGTACACCACTCTCCCTACCAGATCTAGAGCCTGGCTGCTGCTTCTTGAAGTTGCAAACTCTTGTTTGAACACCTACCCTTAGAAGTGAGTAAAGTGTGAGTAGATGACACACCAGACCATAGACTATCTTGGGTCTTTGCAGGATCTTCCTTTCCAGTGGTTTGGAAAGTGGGGGGGCTTTGCTTAGAGCTCTCAAGTAGAATCCCTGCAGCTCATAACCAGTGAAATCATAACAGACTTTCCCAGCACAGGTGAAACCTTCGTTACAGCCTGAGCTTTCAGTGTCTCATTTCCACAGTACCTGTGCAAAAGCTTCATTTTCCAAGTGATCTCCAATGGGTGGTTTTGAGGTTGCTCCTCCCTCCTGAAAAACAATTGCATAGGGAGTGAAACTGGCAGTAGCTCTGGTGCCAGCAGCTTAAACTCATTAACACAAGCAGCTTGCATTAGTTTCCTTGACACTTTCAGACACCCTTCCCTGAGGAGGTTTCAGACTGGTAGTTTTCACTCTAGAGAAACATTTAGCTATGCTAAGCAGCTACCAGCACTTTGTGCTGCCTCCCTCTCTGGTGTATTCTGAGTTTTGAAACTTGAGTCTCTCAGTGGAGAAGTGATTTTAGGAATGTAACGTGGAAGAAAAGGCCTGCGTGAAGGTTGCTGCCGTTAGGATCCCTGTTAACATTGAGACAAAAACCTGTGAAGCCAGTTTCATTCTGTCCCAGGTACTGCATACAAGCAAGCAGCGGCTTTTCCAGCTGGAGTTCTGGAGGAGTATTTGTGGTAGCGCTGTGAAGACACACAGCCTGGGAGGATAAAGTAGTAGACTTGTTCTGATTTTACAAGCAGAAAGCCTTAGAGTGGACAGCTTACAGACAAGCATCCATTGATCCACGTCCCTTCTTTTATGGGAATGTTGTACAGGAGCAGTCACAAATATTTGAGTTGGAGCCTGGCTGAACCTTGCAGGTGCAGAAAGCTCGCTAGGACTTGGCTTTTCTGCTGGCTGGTCTGGTGGAAGACAGTACAAATCTGTTCCAAGCACCACAGTTGCTTGCAGGTCATGCTTATTTAAGCCTTTTTAGCGCGTATGTGATGAAAAGGGAATTAAGGAATGTGTCTTAATAGTGTTGTCTGCGGACAAATCACAGCCGGTGACAAGTGTGGATTTTAATGGGAGTAAGTAGGTTCTTTCTAGTGAAAAGCCTCACTGCTGTTAGCATCCACTGCCCCAGCACGGAGCGGGTACTGGGAATTAGCTGTGTCACTGGGATATCTCTGGCCATTTGCCAAGCAGGAGTATTGGTATTTTCCAGCTGATGCAGAGATTTTGGCCACGTATGTTTTAAAGCAGCAGCTCTCCTTCCTGCTTGGATTTCTGTAGGTTTTCTGGTTCTGCCCTCTCTAACACTGTCCCACCCAATGATGGCAGCTCCAGCCTTGACTCCAGTAATTTTCCCTTCTTATTTCTTTTCCATGCTAGCAAATCTGAGGTGTTTCTCCCAAAAGACGGGCTCAGATGCATTGCCATTCCTCAGTACACTTTGTGTACGTTATCCAAGTTCCCTATTAAGTGCCATGCACTGTGTTTGACTTCCCATGTTTATGATATGGATGTCCCTTGATGAGGGACTCACATTGGTGTTTAATGCACTGTGACTGCAGTAGGCTCAGCAATGGAAATACAAGTTGTGGTCAATAGATGTGACTCCAGAAGCCTTTAGCATGGAAACATATCCTGATAAATCTTCCTGTCATGTCAGGAAGAGAATGGCTGCTGAGCATCTCCAGTTTGCTTTATTGTAGTGTGCATGTCTTGAATCATTCATCTCACACTCACTGGACCAAATCTGCTTGAGGAAATGCCATGCTGACTGCAGTGTGAAGGGCGCAGGCAAATGAGGCCCTGAATGAAATAGCAACCTTTTGCCCAGCAGTTTTGGCTGAGCACACACCTGGCTGCACTTCCCTTCCTCCCCTTGGACCTTTCTAAATTCATTTGGATGCTCCTGGTTTCCTGTTTGGTGTCCCCTCACCTTCCTTACCCTTTCTTACACTGTTTTCTACTGCCTATTTTAGAGTTGTTTCCTAAAACCGTGTGCTTTCTTTTCCCTCTTTTAGACTTTCATAGCTTTTCTAACCTGCAGGTTTCTTGATGAAGGATCCCACCTTCTACTTAGCCCATTTCTGGTGCTATAAAATCATTTGACATCATCTCTCCTGTGCTTCTGTTATCCCACTCTCCAAGCACTTTGAATTCAGACCGGAAGGTGAAGTGAATTATCCCTGCTGCCAGTGGATGCTCTTTTTCCCTTCTCACCCTCCCTTTGCACAAATAACCCCAGTCTTACTGAGCTGCTATTCCTTGTCTTGCTTAGGAAGTTAAGGAATTGTTGTTCCTTTTTGAAAAGAGGGAATAAAAAAGGTTTGCGTGGGTTTTCTTCAGTCTTGAAGTGTTTTCCCCCTCATTCCTGGCTGCATCTCATTGCTGAGACCTGGAATTCATGTGCCACTGTGTAGGTCCTGGTGTGGTTTCTGTGACGCTGCTCAGACCTTTGCCAAGATGCGGATTTGACTTGAAGCCTCGAACACTGATACCACTGCTCTTAAAGAGAAATCGTTGAGTTTGGGTTATAGTATGCTAGTAGTAGTGATGAAATTGCTCCGTGAGCTGGTTCAGAGAGCTGATCCAGCTGAAAAATTATCCCAAGGAATGGTTATTTTCCAGGCAGACTGATTTCCCAAGGCATCTTGCCTCACAATCATAAGAATGCTGGTGTTGGCATATAAACAGGGAAAGTGTACTGCCTCCTTTGGCAGCCACACAGCCTTAGATCAGATTAAAACGAACAAGTAACTTTGGCCTCAACTGATAATTGTCCTCACTTTGCCCAGAAGGAAATTTAAATACAAAGAGAGATAAGATGTCCATAGCTGTGTAATGAATTAGAGAGAAAACTGGGAATAGAGTCCGCTGTATCGGTGGGAAGAGTATTCTATGCTTGAGAATCACAACTGGTAAGACCCGTGGAGGTTGAAAGGAGCTCCTGTTGTGGAACAGTGCCTGTCCTGATCACGCATGGACTTGCTGAGCAGCTTTCCATCTCCACGTCTAACTCTGGTACCTTCAGGGAGAACGCTGACTGTAGTTTCTACTTGCAGAGGGAGGGAATGCGCAGGCAGGAGTTCCACTGAAGTATCCTTACTTGTTCAGTGTTTCTTAGGTAGCTGATGGATTGTGTGTTGCTAAATGTGCTTTGTTAAATTCTGTCAGTATCAGAGCAGGGAGATGCTCGGTTTTCCCCAAAGTGTCCATTGTGCATCTAAAACGAGGTGCGTGTGTGGTGTTTGAGAAGATTCAGGAGCTCAAAGCAAGGATGGTAATCGGTCTTGGGAGATAACGATACCAAACGGTTACACAGGGTTTACAGGAGCATGGTGACATTGTGCAAGAAGAAACACAATAGTAAGGGTTTTGGTATTGGCACATTTAGACTTTGTCAACAGTAGATTACCTAAACCTGTGCTGGTGCTTTGTGCACGCATGAACACACACCTCAACCTCGTACTAACCACAAGGCTGGGCTTCATCCCAGCGCTGCTTGGCAATGCAGTAGTTAAAATGCTGCTGGAAGTTACAAAACAAACTCTGCAGGCCAATGCAGGTGTGTTTTT